GACGTTGGTGTTGAAAATCCGTATCTTGTTTCATATGCTGAGTGCAGATCTCCACATTGGTTTCAGGCTAATGAACGTCTGTCTTGCTTTTCCGATTCTGGCTTTGACATCCTCGTCTGTCTCGCCTGTAGTTGAAACAGTGCTTGCTAGATAGGTGAAGGAGGTTACTTCCTTCAAGTTTCTCCCGTTGACTGTGATTGGAGTTTGTTGTTGTTGTTGATGGTGGTGGTGCGGTATCTTCATCACTTCTGTCTTCTCTATATTCACCTGAAGTCTCGTCTTCGCTGCCTCTTCTATCAACTTGTTAGTTTTCGCCTGTAGACCTTCAAGTTTATGTGACATCAGGCACAAGTCATCGGCGAAATCCAAGTCTTCTAGGTTCTTTTCCGCAGTCCAGCGTATCCCCCTCTTCTCGCTGCCCACTGTTTGCTGGATGATCCAGTTGACCACAATCAGGAATATCATGGGGGATAGTAGACAACCTTGTTTCACTCCTGTCTTCACTTCAAAAGCATCACTGAGCTTCCCATTGTGGATTACTTGGCATGTGGCGTCTTCATGTGGTTGCTGAATGAGGCTAATAAAGGTTTGTAGTATTCCGTAGTATTGAAGCAGTTTCCAAATTACTTCTCGGTCGACGCTGTCAAAGGCCTTCTCAAAGTCGATAAGGTTGAGGTATAGAGCTGATTGCCATCCTATGCTCTGTTCTATGATGATGCGAAGCGTTGCCATTTGGTCTGCACATGATTTGTACTTCCTGAAGCCAGCCAGCCTGTTCCGGTCGTAGTTTTGAATCCAGTGCATCCTTTAGACTCTCCAGGATGATGCGGCTTAATATTTTGCTTGCTCTGGGTGGACAGGAGAGTGATTCCGCACCAGTTCTTGCAAACACTGATGTCTCTCTTCTTCGGCAGTTTGACAAGGTAACCCTTCTTCCAATCACTAGTCAGGTACCTTCTCTTCCTTCCACACCTTCTGCAATAGTGGTGTGAGCATGTCCGCTGTTGTCCCTGCGTCTGTTTTCAGTGATTCTGGCAGGATCCCATCTGGTCCTGCTGCTTTCTCGCATTTCAGTAGCTTTATGGCATTTAGGACTTCCATTTTCGTTGGAGGATTTACGTTCACTTGTAGTTCAGCGGCTGCAGGTGGTATTTCTGGACAAAGTGCAGGTGGTGGTGGTGGTCGTTTCAAGAGCTTCTTGAAGTGATCGGCCCATCGTTTCCTCTGTTTCTCTTCTTTCGTAATTGAACTTCCGTCATCATCTTTTATTGGTTTCGTCTGCGTTGATCTCTTCCCTCCCAGGTAGTAATCTGGTTATTTGATTTAATGTTGTCAGGTCTCTCTTACCTGCAGCCTGTTCTGCTTCACTTTGCATGCACTCTTCTTCACTTCTTTGTCCAGGGTAGTGTTTTATACATTGTACTCAGTTCCCCTTTTCATCGTTTGTGCCTTCACTGGTTTATCTTCTGCTTCACCATCCTCCTTTCCTCCACCAGCTTTCATGTATCCGTCGAGATCCATTCCTTGTCTTCTTTCTTCTTCCTTCCTAATACGGTTATGCAGGTTTCTTTCCACATAGCTTTCAAGGAGTTCCAGTGTTCTTCCACACAGGCTTCTTCAGGGACGTTCCTCGATATCTCCTATTTTGTCTTGATGGCTGCCGTGAAGATTTCCTTTGCACTTTTATCTTGCAGTTTCCGAGTGTTGTACTTGAACTGCAGTCTATCACCAGCTTCCTTGAAGGCTTTTAACTTGATTTTGAAGGTTCCTTGCACTAGACAGTGAGTGGTGTGAACCTACATCTGCTGCTCTTCTTGACCTTGTGTCAAGTAGACTGCGTCTCCATTTTCTTGAGATTGAGATAAAGTCGATTTGATTTTTAGTGTGTCCATCTGGTGAAACCTATGTCGCTTTGTGGATATCCTTGTGCTTGAACACACTGCCTCCAATCACCGAATCGTTGAATGCGCAGAATTCTGCAAACAATTGACCTAAACACAAGAAAATTTCCCGCAAACCTAAAATACCCAGATGACTCAGTCCTATTAGGTGAGGACGTTGACAAGATATATAGAGTCTTCTAGACAATTCAGTGGCAGGTTGAGAATGTTTCGCATGAGTTTCTCCCCACCCAAATGCAAATTATTGATCCACCATAGGTCTTCAACAGTGCCCCAGAGCAGCTAACAACAGACAACAAAGTGGTTCAGTGCCCTGAACACTTCACTTACCTGGAATGTCAGGTCAGCTATGGTGGCTGGCTGACCAACTGATTGGCTGCTTCAGGAGGTTGACCACCGCTGCCCTAGTAGCATAGGCCACGTTTCGTGGTCTCACCACATGAGTAACACAGAAGTCAGATGTAGAGTTTTAGGGAGGAGAGATAAGTCAGTTGATGTGGTTGTGAACAATCATCAAATCAGATGGCTGAGAAATGTGTGATGTATGCCTAGCAACTATCTGCCTCGTCACACAATGTTGACAGAAGTAGGTTCAGGCTGGAAAAAGGCTCGAGGCGGACAGACTAAAACATAGCATCAATGCATCAAGTCCTTGACTGTTCGTTTCAGGCATGTAGGGCGCGAGTCAGACTAGCCAGTTGGGGTAGCAGGACAACAGAAAGTAGTGGTTAGATAGTCTAGGTGATATGGCTGGGAACCGATGTCAGTGGCGCAGATGTATGCACACATTATCTTCATCTTAAGCGCTATACTTAATCTCACCATTTTCTCATTCCTCATTCCTTGCTTCTTCTACTTTCTACTTCTTTTAACTGATTTTTCATTCTTCCTTTATCTTCTATTTCATTGCCCTGCTACTTTATGTGGTGATATGAGACGTGGCAGCTTCGACCGTAATGCAGTAATCGCTGGTCCTACTTTGATTTGGATGGTAATGAGATAAGATTCAACTTAATCTAGCCAATAATCTTGTAACTATCCGTTGAAATCATTCGGTATAATACAACGGGGCTTGCTACCTGTGAGAACAATGTCGACTTCAGGTGGGGGATACTAAGCATGGAAGGCAAGTTTGTCAATGATGTCATGAACTTCAACCAACTGAGGTGGCTTGGACAGGCACTGAGCATATCGAGCCACCGCTTACCTTGGTGTGCAACACTATGCGAGGTTGGAATTATGTGCAGGATGGTCAGTTAATGAGTTTTTGACTGTTGGTACGAGGTGGAGACATTGTCTGGGTACTGTCCTCCAGATCATAGGAATCAATGGCTACAAACTCTTGGTGATATAGATCAAAATCGACTATAGTGGTGCTGATGTATTCACTCTTGACAGCTTCCAAAGTTTGTACATTTTCACTAACATTGATTTTTCAAAACTCTACTGTAATATCACTTCTTAACGACGCACTTATTCCTTGCATGCTGTTGTGCAGTGTGGTAAATATTGTATTCAACTATAGTTTTCGCAGAAATAATGACCATAGACAGTTGATCATTGACAGTAAACTTATAGCTGTCTGGTTCACAAACATGACACACCTTTATTTATACGATTAAGCCACACCTAAGTACCCTATGTATGTCGCACTAATCGACTGAAAAATTGATCAATTTTCGAAATAAAACAACCATGAAACAATGACATGCGAAAATAGTAAAACTGATTACATTCCCACAAGGGAACCTTGTGCACATTCGTGCAGTCAGCAATGAGATACACCTACTGTGTGAAGACTAGAGATACTACCACTTGGCTACCCAAACCTGGGTAGGTGGAGAGGCTCCATAACACGTGACCCATTGGCTAAAAGTCATTTTCCTAAATCAACGAGCTACATCACGCAGTTTAACTCATCAAGTAATAAAGATCTGTGCTCAAGACGGTCAGCATCATCCATTGTGTAAGGGGAAGATGAACTCACGCTCTGATATTCCTCACTCTGGCGATTGGAAAGGGAACTGAACTCGTTATCTCAACTAGCTTCCTGAACACATAGATTCAAGTTTCATAAGACTTCTTTTTATCCCATAACTTAGGTTTTAGTAAAAAGAATATAAGATGAACAATATTATCAGATCTCGAAATAAAAATTCATCATATTTTCAAAAATAACCAAGAAATATGGTTGACAAACAACACCATTGCTAAGAATATCAGTTAATTCAACTGAAAACTTATTCTGAATAAGACTGGATAGTTATCAGAAGTCAGGGAGAAAGATCTTGAACGGATCATCTACAGTTAGCAGTAAAGCAGTTTACAAACATTCACCACCTATTCATATGGGATAAATTCAGTGGGAAGTACACATCAAATAAACGTGACAACAAGATTAATAAACAATAAATTAAATAATAAGGTAGTAATTTATAGGATATAAGCCGAGAAAATCTATTGAGATTATTTCCACTTCAAATCAAAACTTCAGTTATTTATATGATTGGTAAATTATGACCTGAGAGTGGAAAATAACGCAATACACATCTATCGAATGCTAACGACATTGACTGAGATGTTTTTAAACGTTGAGCTATACTAAAGTTAACCTAAACTGGAGTTCAGATGACAAAAACTGTAATAATGTAAATTTTGACGTGTAAGTTGAAGTTGTTCAGTACAAAGAAAAGCTAGTAATTGAGAGGTTTCGCGATATTCATAATGAGGTTTGTTCCATTCTGACTAGCACTGCATGTGAAGGTAGATATTATGTGGATATGTGTAATACATCTCACAGTTACTTTACTTCATCTAAGATTCACGCACTTTACAGAAATGCCTTAATACATCATACTGAAGTTACTGCTGATGTTGTCGTCTAGAAAGACTATGAAAGCTCCACAAGTAAACAACCTAGCTCAGAGAACACAACACAACCAAGACATGTCTTATCTAAGCACTGGAAATAAGATATACATAAAGTAAAATTTGAATACAGTTAAAATTCATTTGAATGTATCTATCTACTACGGTTTAGCCTTGAGAAAAAAAACACTCGAATAATCTTTTATAAATTCAAAAAAGATGTTGTTTTACCTTCATTTGCTTTTATAGCAATCAAAAGGAGAATAGAAAACAAAGCATCTTGATCTGAATCGGAACCAACTTCCAGTGAACGAAACATAGATCTTAAGAAGACACGACCAGAAAGATTTGATATCTCCGGTTCAATGGATTTATCAGTTTGCTCTCCTGAATCAGAAGTCACTGGTAGGTTGGATGATGAGTCATCCATTTCATTAGACTTTTTTTCAACAGAAGATAAATCTGAAACTAAAATATGTGCATTTCTTAACAAGTTGCTGTTAACAATCAGCGAAGGAATTGGGGCGCAAAATAAACAATATACCGAAACAATTAGTCTCTTTTATGAATTTGGATAACCTTATTAGATGTAGTTTATTTCACCAATTAACCGACAAACTATATCTTCTAATTACGTTATCCAAAAAAAAATATTCGATTCTATGATTTTGACTCTCTGAGGTAGCCAGGTTTGGCAGACCAGTATTGATACTAGGTGATGATTGAAGGTGAAATGAAAATTTGGACCGCCGCATGATTCGAACCAGCGACCACTTGCATTCCGGTCCGGTGCTTTACCAACTAGAAATCTGGTCAGCAGTCTCGCCTCGTAGTTCAATTGGTAGAGCACCGGACCAGAAGCACGATGACATGTTTTACACTGGACACCCCGAACTTTTTCCAGCTTGAATCTACTTCGGCCAACATTGCGTGACGAGGCAGACGGCGACTAGGCATACGTAACACATGTCCAAACCATCTCAGTCGGTGATCGTTCACAACCACATCAGCTGACTTACCTCTTCTCCCTAGAACGCTACACCTGACTTGTGCGTTACTCACACGGTGGCACCACGAAACGTGACCTATGCTACGAGGGCGACGGTGGTCAAACACCTGAAGCCTTTTCTTTCTTCTACCTTTAATCCCCATGTTTCACAGCTATACAGTAGAACAGAGCAAATTGGTGTGCAGCACACGCTACCCTTAACAGACAATAGGATTTGGCGGCGGTGCGACAGGTGGCGTAATTTGGCAAAAGCCAACCGAGGCTTTGTTATTCGTGCAGAGATTTCATCGACCACACATACAACAGGGGTATTCCACCCAGCTACCTGGTTGTGTATGACTAAAAGAAAAATATTTCTTTCAAAATTTAGCAAGACGGTCAAAGTAACGATGTTTTGAAAGAACAATACATTGAGACCTAATGCCTCTGTATCTGTTCTTCGCTAAAAATGTAGGAAAGAACGTCAGAAACACTTTAACCACATACAACAAGCACTCAACATTATTTCTGAAGAGGGCTACCATAATCGCAAATATATAAGCAGCAAATGAACTGTTAAGTACATCATCATCGTTCTGATATATTCTATTCAAAGACAGACATGGATAATTTTAACATCACTGTTAAGACTTGAAGACACACTTATTTATCGATAAGTACCAAAAAAAATAATTAAAGTGTCTTTGCTAGCATGAGTGGGAAACCTTTTTGTGTTGCTTTGCTGATATTTTATCCAGCTAATAGAATCGATCTAAAATAAAATAGCACAACAGTATTTGTGGGAAAAACCTCTTACTTAAATCTCAAAGTATTCTAAGGTTTCTTTCTAAATAAACAAAGAATGTGTTTCTTTTGAAATACTAGTCAGTATATCTCGGGTGTTACTTATCTTCCTTAATGAACTATTCCATGGCAATCAAGCTTACGACATAGTAACATAATAAAAATATATTGCTCAACATGTTAATCTAATGGTTCTATTTTATTACTACATTTTAATAACTATGAGCATTCGACCAGTGAATGGGTGCTTGAGTTTTAAACTTCGAATCTTTCAGCTTTGAATGAGACTAAGAACCGAAAAGAACTATTAGAACCCACTTTTAATGTGGTGATTCCTCTGTTAAATAACAGGCTTTGTATAACCTTATTGTGACACTTTGATACTTCTGTACATAAATTTCATTGTCTTTTCCAGTAATTAGCTGGTTATATCCACAAATCGTAGTAAATGTAAACGGAACTAAGGTCATCATATCATGCAAAAATTATTTGTCAAAAGAATCAGCTGTATACCCTTGTTGATACCTGATAGCGATTACACAAGAGGTAGCTAATGCAACAGGATAACTAGAAATGGTGAATCCTAATATTCAATTTTAGTACAAGAACACTAGACTGGTGACCTTCAAATATATAGAATTCAGCCAAGCAAAGTTTTTTGCAAGATATGACGAAAATGCCAACGGTGTTCTACAAATTTTCGTAAACACTAATTCAAAGCATACTATTCAGCAGAAATGTAAATTGTTGGAATATATTTTAATCAACCGCAGTTGAATTTTACATGGGGAAACAAATCCTTAACTATATGAAGATTGAAATACGGATTGATAACTACTGAATGAGGAATTTAAACATCAGCAGTTGAAAATAATTTAAAACCTGAGCCGCACAAATAATCCAAAGTAAAAGTTAGATGAAAGGAAAAGAATGATGGAGGTGATGCAGTGCATTGAAAAATAGCTTACGGACAAACTACATTTTCAGCTACCTTTCAAGTACTCAAATGATCTGCAGAAAAACAAGTGAAAATTATATCCATTAAGCAAACATGGCAACAAAATATTGATTTTAGCAGAAATCAACCACCTAACATGACGATAAAGTTGGTTGCAAAAGCTTTAAGAGAATTCTGGACTTCTATGAGGAAACTAGATTTTGACTCCCTTAATAATAAAGAGGTTGACAAATCCAAAGTTAAGACAGAAAACTTGAGTGAGCAAAATGTAGGTAGAAACAAATGAATCTGACTTACAAAGCTGCACTCTACCCCTTACCTTCTCATCAATTTGTACAAAATATGATTGGTGAATCTACATCATAGACTGAAAACTGAGGTGTCATCGAGGCCTAACTGAAGTGTCGGATGACTATGGACTCTCAGATATTAAAAACGATGTTATTCAAACTGATTCGATAATGGTGACACAATGCGACTTATTTCCATTCCTATAAACTAGAATCCCGGTTCCTTTCCTTATACGTCAACCACTTTAATGATACTGAGTTCTTGTTTGCTGTTACTGTATTTAACTTTCCCAAATTAAAACCAGTCCGCGCTGACTTCGTCTGATTCCCATACACTAATTACTATCTCCCTTACTGTGTTCAATGATCGTTTACTTCCATAATGAACAACCTTTGGAGGTAAAGCATCCGATCCTGCTGCTCGGTATCTTTTTTAGGTTGAAAGCAGCTTCTCAACTTTGCTGATTGCAAAAAGACCAATATCTGGATTCTGTTCGCATTGAGGTTGGATGGTGACTATGACTGTGATGACATATCCCAGCTACTTTAGTTGATGAAGGCTGACAACCCTCTCAACTCAATTAACTTTTCTACCTAAATGATACACCTCGACAAAGGTCGAGGTTCCATGACAAATGGTCTATGCTATGAATACTGGTGATCGAACAACTGAAACATTCTTATATTCTCCACCTTTGACTACTATCTGTTATAGTCACATAGCAGAACAGAGCGAACTGCTGAGCAGTACACTCAATTTTGTACGTGATTGGTTATTATACTGACGCGACAGACAGAGCAGTTTGGCAAAAGTCAATCGGAACTTTCTTTCTCCATACCAAAACGTCATCCATCACTGACTTATCACTGCAGCTCTGAATTCCCAGAGAAGAGATGGGGTCAACGTGACAAACCACTACAGTCAAGTTTCGCTACACAAAGCACTTTCCAATTACGACTGAAGATGTCCATAAGACTGTATCTTGTCAGCGTCTTCAGTTAAATGGATTTTTTCACCCGCATACTTTAGGTATGCTAAGGAGTCTTCTGTAACAAAGCTGATCTCTGTAAATTTAGCCGCGAAGAGGGTGGACATCATTGGTGGGGACACCACTCGATGTACACAACTCACATGAAACTTCACCGTAGGCTGTAGTAAGTGCACCAGTGTTTGGGTTCTAAGTTTTCAACACGGCGATATACATACCCGGGATCCGTATCAATGAGAGATAATGGCATAATACCTCTCAATCAACGAGTTCAAATGCCACCTTCAGGGCACGAGATACAACTAGATTTGGAAGCAGGTAAGTCTGGCTGTGTTTCGAGACCTCGTGAAGGCTGGAGATTTGGTCAGCACGTCATCAGCGAGGTCTTAAATCTGTCTATTTCCCCAAGATCGTTGTTTTCGTGCTTCGCTAAGACATCCAATAATTATAGAACCTATAAGCATAGACAATCTATTCATCAGATTAATTCCCTCGTAGGTATTATATGAATTCAAGTTAGGGAACGAATACCTGGTGGTAGAATTAACAAGAGAAAACCAAGCAATATAAGGGATTCATACAAGTCAGTAACCACATACAGACTTGAGCACTAGGCTATGAGCCACAAATATTGCGAAGAAATATCTAGTTGTGAACCGTAAAGCAAATGAGGTGAAGTTGAAATCAGTAGTCATATGCTTAAACTTAAAGGTTAATAAGCGATTACTTTACTTGCATGAAGTTGCATAGATAATTATGGCGGTGATATATACAATTCAATACATGATTAAACCGGTACAGTGATTGTATTGAAAAGTGAACACTTATGACGCTTCCGACTACTGCAGACAATCAGACTTAATGCCTCATAAACTGAACATTAATATCATTTTTATACTTATGAATTGGTCACAAAGTTTTGTTAAGAGAAATGAATGACTAAATGTTTTCTCTTAACAAGTTATCTTCTATTAGGAAGGTGAACAGACATTCGTTTGAATGAACAAGCACTATTCATTTTACCATGATACCAAGTGAGAACTAACTCATTCACAAAATAACTAAATTTAGATAAATTACAGGGGTGAACCTGCACCCCAGTGAGTGATGTTGTTCCCACTGAGACTCAAACCTCATACCCATCGCTTCAGACGCCGAGGCGTCTATGGTCGCTGCAGGAATTCTTCTACACGTCAGCTGATAAGCGGTTAAGATTACAAACATCTTGCTTCGCCTATGAATCCCGAATAGTTTGACCAGCCGATTTACCTACCTCAACTACTAACAAACCTGAGCCTTGACATTCCTCGCTCAATTTAGGCCAGTGTAGACTGAATGAATGTTGGAAAAGGGCACAAGTGTACAGTTGTCTCCCTTCTCACACGTATATTAAACGTATTTCTTATGAACAGAATGGAAAACATTGCTGCACAGCATTGTGAAACCTTGATTAATGGTGGATTGCGTAGGTATCCTTGCTGACAACACAAGTGATATTGACTGTAAAAACAGGGATTGAAGTTTCTACATCCGTGTCAGCAAAGTAGTTTGCAAGTAGTGAAATCATACAAGGTTTGATTCACATTGTTCATAGTAAACATGAATATTGTACATCAAACGCAGTATAAAATTAAATAAGTCACTACATTTTCTTTCCTCACTACCCCAAATATTTCACTAATATTACTAATCGTATTTTCAGTTGTATGACAATACAAAAATACACAAGCATGAGTACAGGATAGTATCATAGGATTTGATAAAATACAAGACAAATGATTATTGTGGTAATGATACTGACTGTTGATCAATTTACTGTGATCCAACGTCCCGTAAAATCATGATTAACTAACAAAGTGAAAACCTAACAGTCATCTCCATTGTTAATAGATTGATAACAGTAACAATGTTTGATTTCAAAAAACTCACCAATACAAGAATCTGTACAAGCAGAAGACGAAAATGAGATTTGAGGATTTGGGAGTGGATCAGAGCACAACTGTTGAGGATTAATAGAACTTGATGCGTGAGTCAGCACCTGATGAGGGAGGGGATACAAAAAAAACCGACTAACAAACGGATTGGAGGGAAATGAAACCATCATGACTGCGATTTAAGAAATACAGCTCACAAAAGCTCCTTCTATTGATATGGTGAAGTAATTTCGCACTGTCTTGCAATAGACTTAAAACACATTCAACAGAGGACGCACTGCATTTCACCTCAAAATAAGCGTGAATTGCTTGTGTAAAACACGAACTCAGATCCTCGCGGTCCATAATAATAGCCATTTGAGTGCAGCCAGACAAAATGTTATTATTCCACTCTCCCATCAAATATCGTTCAGAAATAAAATTCGCGAGGCGCGCAAGTTGACACTGACAACAGCATACATACTACACATTTAATTTAAACACTACTTTCCCTGCATAGAGTGCAACTCAGTTATCAACTTCCACAGTACAAGCAAACGAGAAGTACCGACTCCGTGCCCACTTTCACCAATATAAAAAACTCATAAACGTAATCTACTTATTCCTATTACCGTCATGAAACCACTTACGTTTTACCACCATGTTACCGTTGCAGGTGATCCAAAAATGAACACATCATTCTTAATCTCCTAAAACCAACCTTCTAACTTCTCCTAGACCTCTTAATATCCGAACAAAATTGATGCTAGGCATCTGAGAAATTAATTCTATGAGTATCTTCAAATACAACCGCTTCCTCTCAGGCGATTACTGGTGTCGATATTCTGAACAGGAGGAGCCAAAAGTATTATAATTAGCTGTCGCATATTAGGTATGATTTCTTGCTCAGAGCACGAATGTGCGCGTGATTCCTCAGTACATTTTAATTTCGAAGTACTGCACTAAGTTGCAGATACAAACAGACACTTCTGAATTCCATTCCAGAAGACAACCACCTGCGCACTGTCCGAATGAATAGATCTATAAGAACTGGCAAAAACTGCAACGCACATCAATGCCTATTCATAATCTCTGCCTGCATACCCGTCAACTTCAGTTCAGATAATGCAAAGCAGTCAAGTTCACTACATACAACAAAAACATTCACGCACATCTTCAAGGTAGTAGGTGATTTCAACACTCCAGTAGGGAGACTGCGTCAATTCGAAAGGTATCTTGAAGATATCTACAGCATCTATCCCATACGCGAAAACTGACAGTGATGAATGTCTTTTATAGTTTTGTCCTGAGTCACTTATTTGTTGCCAGCACTAACTTCAAGCACAGCGAAAGACATTATTTCACTTAGCGTTCCATCAACATGAACTGAAGTTGGATGCAGATGGATCATACCTCTACTACCCACCGTTGGAAATTACTGCTGTTCTTGAGCAGGCCTATTCACAGATTTCGAACTGAGTGACCGGATAGTATCATGAGTGTGGCTCATAGCCTAGTGTATACACCTGCGACTAGGGTGAGTTGTATAGATGAACCAACCACAGCCTCGGCCTCCAATCATGATTGGGTACTTGTGTGTTTTTGTATCTTGATGAACACAGGGAACATAACAGTGATGCCCGTTTCTCCTCGAATGCAAGATGAGAGCATCCAGTATGGAATCAGGTAGCTGAAAGCGTGTTAGTTGTCGGAATATAGCAGCAGCCTTCATTCGGATGAAGCCTGCTGATAGAAACAATGGTAAAGATAGTTCGCAGTCTTAATCCAAAGGTTAGTAAAGTCAAGCGGATTTCCTGAAGTGATTGAGTCAAGAAGACTTATTCCAACTGATTATGATCACATCATGATGATGGGAGAAAGCAGCTTGAGTGTAAGTTGATTACAAGTCATTGTGATCAGTGTGATGGATGACCAAAGCGGGAGTGAAAGCGAAAGAAGTGAAGAAGTCATCGGCACTGGGTGATACTTTCCTTACAGGCGAAAATAACGATGACACCTGGCTTCAGAGATTTCCTGTTTATTTCTCCAACTACGAAGTCTGAAACACAGTGCACCATGGCGAAGATGAAATTGAATCAGCCTGTTACTTTCTAGGTCTAAAATGGGTTTATGGCTGCCTGAATACCTCACTGTTAGCATATGTATGATGTTGAGTGATGCGAGCTTGACTCTTTAAAGTGTGATTTTCACCAAGGATGGTAATTACTTGAAAGCATGAAGCCGAGCTTGTAGTTGACTAGTGTTCCCTACAAAGATTTAGCTTCTGTTGACCATCAGTCAGGATCATAGTAATATATTAATGGCTCAGCAAGCTCATTATCGTGAAGGTATTCGATTGTGACAAGAAAAAGTCATATGATACATTATTCACTTTAAACTCACACAGGTTCTCGAACTCTTCTCCACCAGTTTCAACGGAGCCATATTGGGCGGCCAAAGTACGGACATCAGAGTAGGCGTAACACCTTTAGCTTGAGCTAAACCGTGTTCCAATGATTCACTAGGCTGGGAAAACATTAATGGATTTCTGGGTGTAACCGAATGCGTTAAATAGGCACTTAATTTTTGTCCAGGACAAGCTTGATCCGAAATTCGTAAGGATACAGTAGCGGCAACCAGTGTTTCAGCAATCGCCATTGCTGGGTCGTGAGAAGGATCATCGACATCATCTTTATCTGGATTGTTTTGTAAAACTTACTGAACAATTTTTAGTTGTTGAACCATTAAAAACTACATATGAAGTTGAGTGTGGTCCAGGACATGGTATTAGGCCAGGTAGTGTGAAATCTCCTATCAGAATGGCCTCGGTAAGCAAACGAACCAAACGTGAGTGATGCAGGAACAAATAAACATGAGTTAAGGTGAAAACTGTTACTGAATACGATAGACGAGGTTTGCGGATCTGTGGAAGAGATTGCATACATAGAAAAATATCATGGTTGTTACATAACAAAGAATCAATCAACAGTTAGTGAAAACTTCCGCTTCCATGCACGTACAAAAGGTGAATTATAATATTATATCTGATTAGTTCTATTACATAAGCGAAATGTCACCAAACTGCAGACGAAGCTGTGACACTTGAGTTCAAGCAATTCATTTCAAACCACTGCATAATAAGTTCGAACCCTCCTGTAACTACGGTGGGTCAGTTGCCGATGAGATTTCTGCACGGATACAAAAGGCTCGATTGGCTTTTGCCAATTTGCGCCACCTATGGCGCCGCCGTGATATTCGTTTGTCTATTAAGGGTCGCGTGTACTGCACAGCAGTCCGCTCTGTTCTACTGTATGGTTGTGAAACATGGCCATTGAAAGTGGAGGATACAAAAAGGCTTCAGGTGTTTGACCACCGTTGCCTTCGTAGTATAGGACGTATTCCGTGGTGTCACCACGTGAGTAATGCAGAAGTTAGGTGTAGAGTTTTGGGGAGAAGAGGTAAGTCAGTCGACGAGGTTGTGAAGCTTGATCGACTGAGATGGTTGGGACACGTACTACGTATGCCTAGTCACCGATTGCCTAGTCACACAATGCTGGCTGAGGTGGGTTCAGGCTGGAAAAAGGCTCGAGGTGGCCAGACTAAAACATGGCACCAATGTATGAAGTCTCTGACTGTTGGTTTAAGCCATGTAGGACGATGCAGACTAGGTGGTTGGGGTCCACGGGATAAGAAGAACCAGTGGTTGGAGACCCTAGGTGATATGGCTCAGAACCGATGTCAGTGACGCAGATGTATACACACATTATCCTCATCTTAACAACAATACCGAATCTCACCATTTTGTCACTCCTCTTTCCTTTCTTTTCGTACTTTATATTTCTTTTGACTGCATTCACTTATCTTCATCCTTCACCTCACTACCTTTCTACTTAATGAACTGACGTGAGGTGTGGCAACTCAGACCGTTACGCAGTAATGCCTGGTCCTATGTTGATAATGATGATGATGATGATGTAACTACGGAAGTTCGGACAGTTAAGTCGTATTGCTAATCCTCAGAACACGTGAGGTTTGTGGTCCAGCATATGAAGTTAAATATCACCACCAAGTTGTATAAGCTGTTACGTAAAGCAGCTTCACATAAATAGATGAATAATTTATTGACAAAGCAGCAGAATGTTTAATCTACGAACAACACAGTCCATCAGGTTCCTCTGTGTCCTTCGACCATATGGTCTACCCAAAGTGCACAAAGAAAATGTTCTCCTTCGTTCGACACTAGACAAGACCGATTCCCCTTACCATTCAGTTGTCAAGATACTGGATCCAGAGAAGAATGGAATATTGAAACAACCTGAGGGACACATTCCACTCTGTTGATTTGATCAATATCAGGGAATATGATTTCTCTGGATATCGTCCCTCTATTTACAAATGTCCCACTAATATAAATCATTTATTTCCTGTGTGGCTTCATTCAATCCCATAAATTAAACACTGGTACCCGAAAACACTATGTAGACGAACTTCTTAGATTTACTTTCAATGTGTCCCCTTCAGACTTAACAATGAAATCTACAGACAGAGAGACGGCGTGGCAATGGGATCGCCTCTAGGACTCCTCCGAGTTGACTGCTTTGTGACAAGCCTGGAAAACACGACCCTATCGAAAATAGTCAAAGAGCTTCATATACGCATAAGATACGCAGATGATGCTTTTATTATTTGTGACGAGAGTACGAATCTCGAAAGCCTGCTGCAAACCTTCAACAGGGATCATCTCTTCATCAATTCATTCTATAAGAACCAAACTCGAAATTCCACTCCCTTGATGTTCAACTCCAATTCAATTCAGAGCTCCATTTACAAGAAGTTCACTTGGAGCGGGCAGTTTATTCACTTTTAAAGTTGTGTGCCCTTGAGCGGGAAGAGGAATCTCATCGACTCACTCTCCTTAAGAAGACGAGGAATACGCACGCAGGACACCATCCATGATGAACTAGAAAACTTGCGAGAAATCTCGATGGAAAATGGATACCCACTGAAATTTATAGATAAAAATCTAAAGCCGAAAACGTTACGAAACGCGTGCATACTGCTTCAAATAAGATTTTACTATTGAACCTCGAATTCAAGGGAAATAATGCGCCACTTATACTTAGAAAGAGACTATCAAGGTCCATGAAGAGAACATTCTTTGTCTTCAATTTTAGAAACATATTCTTCTGTCATAAACTCGTTCGTCAGTGCGTAAAAAATAAGCTGGAGTGTTAAGCCACATCAATTTGTGTATATAAGTTTACTTGCTCCTGTGGAGCCGACCACATCGGCCATACCATGCACCAGCTTCTGAAAAGCGCTCGCGAACACTTTTGATAGTGATTATGCTTTCGTTCCAGCAAGCATATGTTTGGGCTTAAACGAACACAGAAGAACTAAGAATGGAAGTCGGTTACAAGGGTAGCTCGATGATGGTGATATGGCTATTGTCAAAGAAGCACTGGGTGGGCAATCATAAGCATGGGATTGCTATTTTTTATTCTGAAGAAGCATGGAACCAGCTTTGGTCAACTGTAAAAAGTAGCAACTAGTTTCCTCAGAAAAAGGTGACGAAAGACCAATAGATCTCAGTAGCTTTGTTTCAGTTTATGTACGCTAATGCACTCCTGCAAACTACGAGAATGAGGAGCAGAAGTACCTAGAAAGTAGACTGAAAAGAGTTCATACAATAACTGCGTACATTGGTGGGCAGCGAAGTCTAGAGATATGAAGAAGGCAACAGCGTAAGACAATAGTGAACAACTGTTTTGACTCACAAAACAAAATTCGAGCGAAAAATTTTGGTGAGACTAGTTGAGGAAGATGGGTTTGCGATTTATTCGCAGAGAAAAGGTTAAACGGATGGTACAACACGCTGAGGAACAATTCAGCTGACCCGCAGTTGCTCTTTGCGTGTGAGTTATTCGGATAAGGGTTGAACGAAACATTTACGATCAGCTTTCGACCTTTGCACTTTTAAGAAGGCTGAAAGTGACCTGCGAAGTGATAAGGCAGCAAGTCTCAATTGGGTTGCACTAGAGATGTTTAACTAGAGGGACTATTTCTTAGACTTACTAAAGCTTTACTTTATATATCGGAATCAGATATGATTTCTTGGGACCGGTCTCAATTCATAGTTAGCCTAGTCTTCAAGAAAAGATAGAGCTAAAAAGGAATCAGCGTAAAGAATATGGTATCTAAGTTCGGGAACAGAAAGCACGAGAATGCCAGGAGGGTTCCAGATATAGTCGTAAGTGTATCGAATAGGTTTTGAAAAACTGGAATACTTATCAATTCTAGACAGTAGCTATATCGCTAGACCCAGGGTGACATTTCATTTTGCTGGTCGTGGTTTTTTTTATAGCAGTAGAACTCACTCCCCAGTAGGTGCAACATTCAACTAGTCTTCAGGCTCGAAAAGAAAACTGAGGCGAAAAAGTCAATCGTAAGTAATACCATGGTGGAGAAGAAAGAGTCTGTCACTAACTCACAATTTGGATCGATAACTGGAACGATGGGTGGAGGGCTTCGAGGAACAGTTTAACTAGCCCACAGTTAGTATTTTACTGCCTACTATCCAGTCACATCTTGTATGGAGCATTGCAATTGAGCCTTTGACTCTTACGGAAGTTCAGAAGGCTGAAAACAAACTGCAATGACGAAGAGTAGCAGACCCAACTAGTTAGCACCAGCAATAATTAAAGGATGATGGTCGAAGATTATTAACTAGATTAGATGAGGTGTTAGCTGACACATATAAAAAACGAGATACGACCCCAATTGACTGGACTCAGCCATTGATTGCCCCAGTCGTCAAGAAATCAGTTTGAAGAACACTGTTCAAGATTCTAGTTTCTATGATCATTTGACGTCTAGGGGAACAGCAATCCTAGAGAAAGCAGGCAGATTTACGACCTTGCCAACGATGCGTAGACCTAACTTCCGATCTTCGTAAGGTCTTACAACACAGGCACACCAACCAGCATCCAAAAATAGCTGGAGGAGGAGGTCAACTCCATTGACCGAGAGGTCTCATGTCATTGTCTCTCACTGAAAATGATGCCAGGTATGTACATCATCCTGTTGAAGGCTCTGTACTCGAACACTATTGGGTGTCGTATCAGGTGAGTTGTGTACGTCTAGTGATATCCATCAAGAATGTTTATCCTCTTCGCTTTTATGTAGTTTTGCAACAGAGTACTCTGGAAGTCTCTCTCTCTTCGTCTACTTTAACTGGGATTGATGGTGTTACAGTAAATCTATAGCACATAGATGATATAGTGTTGTTACTTTGAGAAACTGACAGAATTTAGAGTTTTCACTTCAAATTGAGTTATAAATTCACAATGTTTTGGAAGAGTTTCTCGCCTTCCAAATGCAAGCTATTACTTCTCGTCTGGTTTGCATTGGTGCCTAGTCTAACAACAGGGAGTGAAGTGTTTGAGGGTGTTAACTATTTTACGCAATTGAGAAGTTGAAGCAGCCATCGTGGGTCGGTGACCCATAATCTATCAGTACTGATACGGAAGGCTACCTTGGCTCTTATCGTATTACTCCACCTATGATGTCGGCAAAATATCCCATTTTCTACTAGGAACCGAGTGCACTGTTTAGCAGTTCACTTTATCCTACCATATGACTATGTAACATGGCCATTAAAGGTGGAAGACAAGAGAACGATTCAGGTGCTCCATCACCGCTGCCTTCGTAGCATAGGCCGTATACCATAGAACCAACACATCAAAGTGCAGAAGTCAGACGTAGATTCTTAGATATACGAGGTAATTCAGTTGATGAGGTTGTCAATCTTCGCCGACTCAGGGTAGCTGGTATACGTTTTATGCATCCCTAGTCTCTGTCTATTCCACTGCAGTGTTAGCTGAAGCATATTTAAGTTGAGAAAAAGTTAAGGATGATCAGACTAAAACGGAGCATCAATCCATAAAGTCTCCGTCTATTGATCTGGGCTGTGTAGTGAAATGTACACCTTCATTTTTAAGTTCGTGTGACAAACGAAATTGATGGTCAGAAACTCTGGGTGATACGACTCCAAGTCCGATCTCAGTGACATCGATTTACCCACACATCATCTTCATTCTAATCCCTATTTCACATATTGTTATTGCCACACCCTCTTCTCCTATTTTCACTACTCTACGATTTTCGACCACACTTTTACCCTATTTCAATGTCTTTTATTCTACTTTTTAATTTGGGGATTTAGTGATTTTTCAAGTGGTGTTTCCTATGGACTGACATTATTTGGAGGAACATTTAAATAAGCTGAAAAATCAATAAATCCCCACAAACCCCCAAATTCAATTGACTTAGTGTTTATTGGTGACTAGCTGCGAGAGGTGATTCCTGAAGTTCCAATGAGAAGTCGTGACCGGTGGGGCAAAACGTGGTGGCCATGAGGACAAATGATCAAAGATGACATGAATGATGGTCCTACCTTGTTGAGAACTGACAGAAGTTGGAAATATGGACCATTGGATTTCGACCCAGTGGCTCAATGGTAACGTGCTGATCACGGAACCTGAAGGTAGCGGGTTTGATCCCTGGTGGTATGGGGTCATAAATGTGCATTGCTGAGGAGTCCCATACTAGGACGAAACAACTGTCAAGTGCTCTCACATTTCCAATGATCCTCCGACTGATGTTAATACATAATGAATACCAACTTTTATTATACTGTGGGAAACGAGAAGACTGAGACGCAGGAAGGAATGTTTATTATTGACATCTTGTACAGTAGTGACGAAATATTGTACACTTTCTACTAAGACAGTCATTTGAGCAATGTGCTTGATTTCCTCTTCTGCTTCTGCCTTGGCTGAGGTGGTTCCAGGCTGGAAAAAGGCTCGAGGTGGCCAGACTAAAACATGGCACCAATGTATGAAGTCTCTGACTGTTGGTTTAAGCCATGTAGGACGATGCAGACTAGGTGGTTGGGGTCCACGGGATAAGAAGAACCAGTGGTTGGAGACCCTAGGTGATATGGCTCAGAACCGATGTCAGTGACGCAGATGTATACACACATTATCCTCATCTTAACAACAATACCGAATCTCACCATTTTGTCACTCCTCTTTCCTTTCTTTTCGTACTTTATATTTCTTTTGACTGCATTCACTTATCTTCATCCTTCACCTCACTACCTTTCTACTTAATGAACTGACGTGAGGTGTGGCAACTCAGACCGTTACGCAGTAATGCCTGGTCCTATGTTGATAATGATTGATTGATTCTGCCTTGACTCGCTCTTAGTACGCCCACACTGCCACTTGCGTTTCTCTTGGGAGGATCTTTATCCCTTCCTGGAAATTCCCTATGATTTCTGCCACCCTCCCAACATGTTCTACTTACATCCATTCTGATCGGCAGCGCCCACTACACTACCATAAATTTTGATATGCTGATGTGAGATGTGATAACCTGGAATATTACACAGTATTGCTTTGTACTATTTCGATATGGACTGACTTCATATACGAGAGATACTGGATAGTAAGATATGGTGTGATGAAACAGCAATGAGAACATAAACTTGATGCAGCAATCGCAAACATATAACCAAGTTATCACACAGTGAAGATAATCAAGTAGTAATCATGAAACTCAGTGAATTTGTACAGGTTTATACACTAGGCTACGAGCTACGCCTAATGAAAGCATGGTTTCGGTACTACCGAGTTGCCCAGACAGAAGTAGGCTGCGTGGGCTTTGAATCGGAGACAGTCGGCTGAAAACCAAGTGCTCAGAGCGATTACCAATACTTTCAATGTTATTAAAAGTGGCGCATTTCTTGGTGACCTTGTTATATCACGTTAGCGTTCTAATAAATAAATAAAGCACATTTTATCAGTCTTTATAAATCTGTTTTCACTTCTCTACTTTTTTTGTAATATTTTCCCAATCATATTGATTTTCTGCCTTTGTGTTATTGTGAAATGTCATAGCTTGGAGCAATGTAATTTTGTGCAAAATCCTACCTTAGTTTTTTCAGTCTGTTCTGGGAATACATTTGTAGATGTAAGCACTAGTGAACAAGAACTAACAAAAGAACGTTGAAGAAACTTATCCTTTTTGTCGATTGACATTAAACGCCCAAACACAAGATGTTATCAGTTATTTAGATTTTCATGACGCAAAAGGCATCCATTTATAGACAGATTCAGTAGCCAAGTTCATGTTTATGCAATAGATGAGGAGCTACACTCACCGTGTTAGGCTTACTGATACTACCTAGCTGGTCAAACCTCGATTAGTTGAGCAAAGTTCAAACCCATGATTGGTCATTTGAAAATCGAATATTTGCACCAACGAGCTATTGCCCCGTCATACAGATTTAAGCAGTAGGTAGAGTACGAAAAAAAATTGCACAAAGAATTCAATGATCAAAGTATTTACTACTTATCGATAGTTGCTTGAATAGGAGGGTTAATTCAAGTAGACTGCTCTTATAAAACAACCATACACGAGGTAGGAGACAAACTCAAAACAGAAATAAACACAATCTTATGAAACCATTCGATGGTCAACTTAATCAGTTTGCACGCTAAGTGAAGCATACTACTCTCAGAATAACTAGGAGCATTGCAACATGGTTCCTGAAAATATATCCATATATCTAACACATACAGTTTATTTGCCTAAGAAAAACAAACAAACATGAAACTGAGTCGACTAGTACACTAACTGACAGACAAACAGACAAAATCAACGTAAAACCTTGTACACAACATCCTCCGTTCAAATTCCAATACTCCATAATAGTTTACAAAGAACAAGTGGATACAAAATGACTGATATCAAAGTAGACAAAGTTCTGTGACAAAATAAACAACTTGAAGATAAAGACTAGTGAAAATATTCAACCTTCAGAAGACATCAAGGAATGAATACATCTGCTTCACTGTGACCAATTTTCACCCATTCCACCAAGAGTCCTCAAATGCAGATTCTTATCGTCTTGACGACCCCAGCAACAGTAAGGGACTTTATGAACTGACACCATCTCTTGGTCTGGTCACCCTGAACCCTCTTCCAACCTAATCCAACTTCCCCCAGCATGCCACGTCGAGGTAGGCGATGACTCGGCATGCGCAGTACATGTCCAAGTCATCTCAATCAGTGATGGTTCACAACCTCATCAATCGACTTGCCTGTCTTACCTAATATCTCTCGTCTAACTTCAACATTGCTCACACGGTGATTAAACCAAACGGGAGCAATTCTACGAGGACACGTGTGGTCAGAAAACTGTAACAGCTTCATGTCTTCTCATTTTAACGGTGGTCTTACAGCCGTATAACAGGGTAGAACGGACTGTAGCGCAGCATACTCGTCCTTTGATAAACAGTTAAATAGGTCACCAACTCCACAGATGATGCATGTTAGTAAATGCCAAATGGGCTTTCTGTATCCTACATGAGGTCTCGTCAGCAATCAGCCAGTTCATCCAGGTAGTCTACATCTCGTCACACGGCTCAGATCGAGAGTCAGAGACTTCATGGATTGGTGCCAAGTCTTAGTCAGGCTCAGATAAAATCAGTCAACAAAGTAAGAAGGCTTTGATAATCATCAGACTGTGATTTCAACTTTTCTTCAAAACTAGTCATCACCCATTTAAACAACTATTTGTTAATGAACAAAAAGTGCATTATTTTTACTTTATAGATAAGCAACCTACTGTATCTTTCGCTAGCAATGGAAAATTACATATTTGACTATCTGAGATAGCCGTAGTTAGGCAGATTAGCATTTATACCGGGTGGTGATTAAAGGTGAAACGAAAATTTGTACCGCGGTCGGATTCGAATCAGCCATCCGGTAGTCGTTACCCAATCGATGGAAGTTTTAAAATTCACAGTGAAGTGATAACTGGTTATGTCCAAAAGTTTGATGGTATTTAAAAGGTTGGTTTGCATTTAATTTTTTGCCCTTTTCTAGCCAGTGAATTGAGAATTTTAAAAAAGTGGTCTGTGGTTTTGAAATTTTACAGAAAAGTAATTAAACTAAACTGGGTTTACTACGGTGACTAACAGCATCTCGCAGGTTCTGGGAGGCATTAGGAAAGCTGTCCAGATAGTAGTAGTACATCCCACTTTGGAAATCAAAGTGACAATTAAACTGCATAAAGTACAACTTATGTAGATAGCGATATGTAAGTTATGGGTTTTTTCGGTAACTACTAAAGAATAGTCCCTTTGGTAAACGTTTTTTGTCTCTTTCTTTGTGTACACAAAGAACATTGGCGCTTTGACTCACTAGTTTAGGGAGTTGACTTTCAACCAGTGAGTCCGGGGTTCAAACCCCGCTCCAAATAACGAGGTGTAGGCAGACCACATATTATCATTAGCCTTCACACAATCGTTGTGGCTTATTGCCTGCTGTACGAACAGTGCTCAAAGTACCATGTAGAAAGACATAAATGGATATGCAATAATTTGATAACATAAGTGTAAAGAAAAGTTTAATAGTTTGTACACTCAATTAGAAATTATGCATGTATAAAGTTTACTCAACCTACTGTGGTAGTTGAAGTCGTTGTTTCCGATTTGTACTGTTTAAATAATGAATAGATATGTAATGGTAGGAATAGTCTTCTTAGCAATTGATCACACAATACTTCATTTAAGCCTTCTATATCTAATGACAGAATGTCATCAATATAGTGTAAGTGGTCAATATGTTCTGCAACTAAGTCCTTTAGTTTCATTTGACACCTGTAAGGAGAATAGGTATAAAAAACAGACTAGTCTTTATACATAAAAACAATAAACAGAGTGAAGAGTAAATGAATGTGTGTGGACTCTGTACACAGGTAATAATATTACTACAGAATGCATTTCAATTAAGGAGCTCTGAAAAGAGACTACAAAAGTACCGTGGGTTCTACCTTTAGTCACCATTACACAAACAATCTTACAGTAATTTTGCTTGCAGGATTGATGAGCTATACTCCTGAATAAATGCACTGAGAACTATTAACTCCAATATCATGTCACCAGAAAGAACGTTAGACGTAACTATAACAACATATCAAACACAAATAAATCCGCTGAATAGAAATCTACCTCAAAAAGAATACAACAGTTGATGCAGTCAACTGGATTGTATGTGCAGATAAGTATGAATAAGATACTGTTTGCATGCAACCGAAAACTGATGCCATGTTAGTTTGCTTGTAGCAAAACCCAGAAAATATATACATGTAAACAAAACGAATGAGCACGTATAATTGAACACTCTACTTTCACTTACCAAAAGTGACTGGTAAAAACTGATGTTCACTTCTTCTCATATTGAAATTGAAACAAATGAAGAGAAGATGAATTAGGGGTTAACTGAATTAAGTAGATCAGATACTGAAAGTATTCCTAGTAAATCGACGATCTTCGGCATACACAAGTGTTCGAAACAGATATGTGTCAAATTATTGCCACTAGACACTCCGATGGAAATGAGTTAGTACTAAGCTCGTCAAAAAACAACTTAAAACCAACGTACAACAGACATACATATACTAGGTTTCATTTCTGAGCGAATAGACACGAAGTGACATGTTAGGTTGGCCCCGATCTTTCCATCCGACATCATCTGTGGTACCAATGAGACATCAAATCGTCAGTCAAAAATTAGAACACCTTACCGTTTCCTTGGAACACTCTTATCCATTGATGGTGTCTTGCACGGTATCGCAAAGTACGTCAACTAAAACCCTAAGTCAGAGAACAACTCAATCTTAACATGACATGTGTCACGCATGTCGTCCCGACGGCTTCCACGCCGTTCATTGTTTGTTAACTCTGGGACTAGATGGAAGAAGCAAAGGAGTGGTCAGTGTATGTCATGGTACCGTGGGATGAAGGATAGTTGTGTCGGGTTAGCACTTGTTGGTTCATCACGACTTCCTGGGCGGAGTCCGAAAGATCACGCAACTCAGTGGCTTGAGACGTTATCAGATATGTCTCAGAATCGAAACCAGTAGGGGTCATGCTGTAGCTTTCTTCTATCCTCCGTTCAAATTCCAATACTCCATAATAGTTTACAAAGAACAAGTGGATACAAAATGACTGATATCAAAGTAGACAAAGTTCTGTGACAAAATAAACAACTTGAAGATAAAGACTAGTGAAAATATTCAACCTTCAGAAGACGTCAAGGAGTGAATACATCTGCTTCACTGTGACCAATTTTCACCCATTCCACCAAGAGTCCTCAAATGCAGATTCTTATCGTCTTGACGACCCCAGCAACAGTAAGGGACTTTATGAACTGACACCATCTCTTGGTCTGGTCACCCTGAACCCTCTTCCAACCTAATCCAACTTCCCCAGCATGCCACGTCGAGGTAGGCGATGACTCGGCATGCGCAGTACATGTCCAAGTCATCTCAATCAGTGATGGTTCACAACCTCATCAATCGACTTGCCTGTCTTACCTAATATCTCTCGTCTAACTTCAACATTGCTCATGCGTTTATTTCACCACTGATTGGATTCACTGCTACAAAAGGTTCATAATTTTTCTTATTTACGTAAGTAGCCTATATTATACCTTTCGATAGCAATAGCCAAGGGAAATGAAATGGAATGAAAGCATCAGAATAAATACAACAAGAAAACTCAAGACATGCATGACTAGAATACAAGCATTACATATTTCCGGCTAATTTAATAAAACTATCCACTTTTTAGTAATTTCAAGCCATATTACCTAAGATCCTTTATCACTGATTACTTCTATAATGATATATCATCAAAGAGGCATGAGCCTTAACTTTTACATACATTGGTTCACAAAAACATAGAAAAAAGATAAAACAACGCCTAAACGTGTACGGAAATCTATCAGTTTAGTCTGGCACACTTCAAAGTGGCACAGAAAGAAGAAGTGGATTAAAAGAGTGATATTAAAGTAAACAGAAATTCCATGCAAGACATGACATGTTTTGGAAACCGCTGACTTTCCGTTTCATTTGTGTAAGCAATTTTACATTCGGTAATTAACTCGTATTCTCCAAGCTTTGAGGTTTTTCTTGGACGGTTAAACATGAGGCTAGGTAAATTCATCTGTGTTTGCTTCGCATATAGTCTGGTGATGAAACATCCAAGAACAAACCTTAAAGAACACCAAACAATTATCATCTTCGTCCTGAGCTACAAATTTTCTGTACTACCCCCGTTTCATATTTCCTATATGTGGTTATATAGATTTTAAGAACTGAAGGTTACAAATATTAGATAAATGGATACAAACCTATCAACATAGAGAAAATGTATGCAGTCTTTATCTTCCTCGAAATTCTGACAACCTTATATTCATCGTTTTTTGGATTACTACATTTTTATTGTTTTATTGCCTTTAATGAACTGGTGTAAACTGTGTAGAAGCTTAAACCTATGGAGTTTCATGTGAGATTCTACGTTGTTCTGTCTCTCTATATTTCATAACTCACACAAATAATCAGTGACTTCCGTAGTTTAGTATCACATCGTGGTCCAGTGACCATAGAGTTCTTGCCAATCTCATTCTAATTCAACCATTACAGTACGTTTTAATCTCAAATAAGTTGGTGTAAGGTCCATAACCAAGTGAGTCAACCTATAAGGTATATTAGAACTAGTTTTCACAGGAATAAGGAGGTGTGACTCATTAGCCTAAATGCTCAACATACATATAGTGATAAATGAAATATATCTGTAAAATCCCATTGAAGTAGGTTTTTGAAATATATTTCACTTATGATTCATTTATCTAATACTCAACTCATTCACCCCTATCAGGTCAAATTTTGATCCTGAAGTTTAAAAAATACACATAAAGAATCACAGGTTCACCTCCTATTCCATTTACTTTAGTCTCAACAAATGAGAAGTATATCATAGTCTAGTGCATAAAACTCCACCACGTTGCTGAGTTATTACATAACAGATATAAATATCAAACACACTCAACCACCCTGAGCATATCCATCCAGTAGGCAATGAGCCACACCTTTTGTGTGAGGACTAGTGATACTACTTGACTAAACAAACCTCACATGGTGGAGGGAGTTCAGACTGACCGATAGCTGCTACCTTGACGTGCTGGTCAGACATACATATCACAATCACCCAACCAGCTATGCTGGTCGAACGCTTGTTCTCTTGAGGTCACACCATGACAGAAACGTCTACTGGATACTAGTAAGACGAAAAGCAGTTGCCATTCAAGTGTAAATCATTCCACTCTGATAGGCGTCTGAGGGTGAAGTCTTACTGCTGCTAGCTCCATGGCGTATGACAGCACTAAGGTGTTTCCCTTTGATGACAAGCAATGCCCCACACTGATGCTGCCTTATCAATGGAATGGCGATTAGAAAAGGTCCACCCTCAAAATAACATACTTCACTATGCCCCATCCCATCTCGATACCGAGGGTAAGCGTTCTTTGTCTATCCAACATTAGAACAACTCACAAAATACTGTGTGTGACAGACCTCAAGCACATGACCCATCGGCTCTGTGGTCACATAAATCATTTTCTCTTTCAGGTACCTCAAGAAGACCTGGTCTTCCATGGTGTGGGCAGCTGGGAAGTGTCAACCGCCCTCACAAACCTATCACCGCTCAAGTTCCCTCACACCACTACCCACCTCTTTCATATTCCTTCACACCTCTCAGTTAACAATCCTACATCATCTTTAGCTCCTCCTAGCTCTACAGCTTTCGACAACGATCTGAGTCCACAGAACAACATTCTTGGTTTTCTTAAACCACGCTCCGAGTTACACATTGGAACCTTCAATATACACACCCTTCGTCGAATTCCCCAACAAGCTTCATTGGTCAAGAATCTAGCAACCAGGACCACGGATATGTGCTGTTTGTGAGACATGCATACAGGACCCAAGTCCAGTTATATACTTAACTTCTCCAGGTCAATAGGGTGAATCCAGGAAATTCACCCTTCGAGTTCCTGGAGATTCGATGGCTAGTTCTCGCAGTCTTGAAGGTGAAACATAGCATTAAGCACTGCGGCAGAAAGCTCACTACCAGAATGGATTCCAGTTGACAGTCGCCTATGTGCAATCCGGCACAATGACAACCTAAAGGACTGGTGAAACTCACTCTTGTTTCTTTGTTATCTCTACTTAACCACCCACTGAATGCAGCTACGAGGGAGTGAAGGATGAGTTATGCCAAAACTGTCCCAAAGACAAACGTTCAGACGTGGTTGTTGTTGAAGGTGATTGCAATGCACAGGTTGATAGGTTGAGTCAGGTAGAAAGGCACTCTGATGGCACTTTAGGAATAATGGCCGAACGAATAGATGAAGGTGATCGACCGATGAGGAGCGAACGCAACTCAAACTAAGACTGACAAAAGTCTACGCAATGACCACGAACAGTGGTGGGAAGTGAAGGATAAAGAGATGGAAAAGGCAGTGGCAACAGATAACAGCAGACAATTATATTTAAACTGATTAAACAAACTGGGGTGAAGATATCAAACTTCAGTGAGACTACAGTGGAGAAGGGTGGTTCTGCGGTTCACTCACACAGGGACGACTGGAATTATGGGCAAGAAACTTAGACGGACAGTTCAACTGACCTCCAGCTATTAGTGCGTTGCTGTGAGTATAACCAACAAATATTTACACTCCCCCCAGGTTCTGGAACACAGGAACGATTACCAAACCCAAACAATAGCTGTATTTCTCAACCTAAAGGAGGCATTCAACTCCATCAAAAGAAAAGTCTTATGACAATGTCTTTCACTGAAAAGAGGAATAGAGTAAGTACATCACCTAATTGAAGCCTCTTTATTCAAACACCTGTAGGCGTGTTTGGGTTTATGGTCAGATGTAGCCTGAGTTATGTACGTCGAGTGGTGTCCGTCCAGCATGCTCACTCTCCCCATTCACATTAAATTTCATCATAGACGTCATCTGACAACATACAGGGATTGACCTAAACACAACAAAATTTCCCGCAAACCTAAAATACCCAGATGACTCAGTCCTATTAGGTGAAGACGTTGACAAGATGTATAGAGTCTTCTAGACAAATTCAGTGGCAGGTTGAGAATGTTTCGCATGAGTTTCTCCCCACCCAAATGCAAATTATTGATCCACCATAGGTCTTCAACAGTGCCCCAGAGCAGCTAACAACAGACAACAAAGTGGTTCAGTGCCCTGAACACTTCACTTACCTGGAATGTCAGATCAGCTATGGTGGCTGGCTGACCAACTGATTGGCTGCTTCAGGAGGTTGACCACCGCTGCCCTAGTAGCATAGGCCACGTTTCGTGGTCTCACCACATGAGTAACACAGAAGTCAGATGTAGAGTTTTAGGGAGGAGAGATAAGTCAGTTGATGTGGTTGTGAACAATCATCAAATCAGATGGCTGAGAAATGTGTGATGTATGCCTAGTAACCATCTGCCTCGTCACACAATGTTGACAGAAGTAGGTTCAGGCTGGAAAAAGGCTCGAGGCGGACAGACTAAAACATAGCATCAATGCATCAAGTCCTTGACTGTTTGTTTCAGCCATGTAGGGCGCGAGTCAGACTAGCCAGTTGGGGTAGCAGGACAACAGAAATTAGTGGTTAGATAGTCTAGGTGATATGGCTGGGAACCGGTGTCAGTGGCGCAGATGTATGCACACATTATCTTCATCTTAAGCGCTATACTTAATCTCACCATTTTCTCATTCCTCATTCCTTGCTTCTTCTACTTTCTACTTCTTTTAACTGATTTTTCATTCTTCCTTTATCTTCTGTTTCACTGCCCTGCTACTTTATGTGCTGATATAAGGTGTAGTAAGTTGGACCGTTACACAGTCGTATGTTGATTTTGATGATGATGGTGTTCAAACCCATGATCCACTGATTAATGGTTATCGCCGTAAACCAATGAGGCACAGCTTTACAAATAAAAGCAGACGCAAAATAACTCAACAAATTTGGCATTTTCATAGTCAAAGAAAATAAAGTGAAAAATGATGAGGAATAACAATGACTCGCTAAAAATACAACTCACTTGTGATAATCAATATCTAAAATGGTATTACCTATTGACCATACAAGATGTGAGAAGTAATTTAATGACGTCTGGTGATGAATAAATTCCAAAGCAGCTTCATCTTTAACTATTGATTGAAAGATTCGCAGAAAAGTGAGTAATTATGATAAATAATAATTTCTTTTGAAATACCTTTATGTACATTGAGAGTAATAGTACGTACAGCGATACGAACCATACTTTCGGGATGAGCAAACAATTTAATAGCTTCAACGTATAAGTCAAACTCTCGACGAGACTGAAATAAGGTTTTTGACAACAACAAAAAATAGATAAACCTACCTCAATATAGAAAAAGTTGATTGTACTTGAGTTGAGTCGAAAGGATAATATCTTCAAAAATGAAATATAATATGCCATCACCTGAAAATTAGAAAGTGAACGAAATTTTAGTAAAAGTAAACATAATTATGAAAAATTATGAAGAATCTACCTCTTCATCGGTGAAATCGAATCGATGAGTGATGATTGCATTTGTATGATTGTTAGACAATAGATAATCTATCAGAAAAAAAATTTTTTTAAATGAATGAACTAATCAAGCTATGAATGATTTACAAATAGCTGTTTGGTTTGTAATATTTTCAAATAAGATATTTAGTGTTTGTAACAGTTGAACACAAATCCTTCGACTTAAATCTTGTTTCATATACTGTAGAAAGTATTCGAGTATATTCTTTTCAAGGAAAAAGCTACAAAAAGAAAGTTGACCATTAATAAATTATATTGAAATGAACACATTACTCCATAACTGAACTATCATTTTGATCACCCCAAATCAAAATTTCTGCAATTAGTCGAAGAGCTTCAACTAGTGTTCCACAATTTTGTTCAGTGACAACTCGATTCTTTTGTAAAATAGAATGAAGATATCTACGAAAAGTAAAGAAAGGAAATAAGCACAAATCAAGGCAGAAGCGTAGTCAAGTTAAAAGTGATCTGACGAAAGATACTACTACTGAACAACTTGAGTAGTTTTAAAAACCACTCAGGCTCATCTGTAGTATTTCACCAGCCAGATCGGAGTGACCTGAACAACTGACAGCCTTTGCGCTCGTTTGGGGCCGAGGTCATTAGCTCATAGAGCCAAATTAGTTCAGATCACCTGAAGCCGACTAGCTGACTTGTATGGACCGGTAAACCTAAAATAGGATGATCAATGTGCAAATGATTCGGCTTTGAAATACAATAGATCACTCTGAGTAATTTCTAACCATTCAAGTTGTTCTATAATAGTATCTTTCGCTAGTTTGTGACACGTGTCAGAGTTCACACAATGTGATCTCGGCTGAGTGGTTTCAAACGGAAACCTTATTGACACCACAGTTAGGCAGTTGAGAAACTAATCAGCTATCAGAAATGTCAACGTGGACCGTGCAATTTGTAAATCATTTGCAAACTAAATGTAATTGATTCGGCAAAAAGAAGTAAACGAAAACCATTCATTAAAAATTTCAAGAAAGCATCATTTAACACACTAATTTTAATGTATGGGGATCACGAATGCCGTTGAAGGAAAATCTAGACCAAATAAGAATTAGAGTCAAAAATACCTAGTTATCTATCTGTCGCTCAAATGACAACAGACTGCTTGAATCACTGGGAGTTTTGCCCATCCGCCAAGTGAATGGATGATTTATAGGCTAGTAATAATGCCTGATTATCTAAACATCGAAAGAAAGTGTAAAGCTGGAATATAGCTCACTGCTTGAACGCTGATGGATCAAGGAGATAAGTGATTAACTAACGAACATAAGAGTGAAGTGACCATAAGCATTGCACTTACAACAATGATAAAGCAGCTGGTTCATTTTTGACGTCCTAGTCAAACCACCTCGCCTGGTTAACTAGTTCACTAGTTACTAGATGGTCCTAAGCCCAGATAAACAGCTAAGGTAGGGCATACGGCTAGCAACCCTACCTCGGAAAACCAATCTAATCGCTAAAGAAACTTCAAAGCACAGAGAAAATATAAAAAAATAAAAACAAACTTATTCCTCACTGGAATCGGAGAGACGAAATGACGCCGGTTGATGAAAGCCTTCAGGAAGCTAATTACCCGGTCTGTCTTCTTCTCTCTCCATGAAACGAAAGTAAACATGAGAACATGGAATGTCCGCATCATGTATGAACCTAGCAAGGCTTCCCAGATTACAAAAGAAATCAGTAGGTATGGCATAGAAGTGCTTGGAATTTGCGAAAGTAGATGGAATGGAAGTCGACTCTACAAACTGTCAACTGGAGAGTCAATAATCTACTCAGATATTGTCACACAGACGACACGACTACCACGAGCACACCGAGTTTTCGAGTGGATACCATGATGTCCCCTTGAAGAGCATCAAAGGCTCTCTCTCATGAAGTGGGAACCAATCTCCTCCAGCATCGGGATTATGACAGCAAGATTCAACTCAAAAGGAAGGAGAGTTACAATCATACACGGCTATGCTATGCATCTACCAATAACGCAGATCAAGAGGAGGAGGAATTCTACAGATAACTCCAATCAGTACTAGACAAGACCTCCGTTGGCGACACCAAAATTCTAAAGGGCGACATGAATGCCAAACTGGGAGCAGATAACACGATAAGAGAACTAACCATGGGCGAGAGACACTCGGTGAAGTGATGAATGGAGAATTGTTTGCAGACTTCTCTGCATTCAACGATTTGGTGATTGCAGTCAGACAGTGTGTACAAACACAAGGATATCCACAAGGCAGCGACATGCATTCGATTTCACCAGACACCAGGACACACTACACTAAAAATCAGATCGACTCAATTTCAATGTGAAGAAAGTGGAGATGCAGTCTACTTGACACAAGATGAAGGAGGTGGGCAGATGTCAGTGGGTCAGACCACTCACTGTCTGCTGCAAGGAACCTACCTTCAAAATCAAGTTGAAAGCCTTCACAGAAGTTGGTGATGGACAGACCACAGTTGAAGTTCAACACCGGGAATGGAAACTGAACTGAAGGATGAAACTACAAGCGACATCTTCACGTCAGCCATCAAGACAGAATGGGAGATATCGAGGAACATCCGTGAAGAAACCTGTGTGGAAGAAGACTGGAAGTGTTTGGAAGAGATGTGGAAGGAAACCTGCACAAGCGTATTAGGAAGGAAGAAGAAGAAAGAAGATAAGGAATGGATGTGGATGGACACATGGAAGCTGATAGAGAGAGGAGTGAGAGGAGGATGGTGAAAGAGAAGTTGAAGCAGTACAGTGCAGTGCAAGGATGCACAATGACGACGAGAAGAGGAAGTGAGTGCAATGTACAAAACACTAGACTGGACAAAGAAGTGAAGAAGAGTGCATGCAAAGACAGAAGACACTTGTACGACACACTGGCAAATGAAGCAGAACAGGCTGCATGTAGGAGAGGCAGAGAGAGACCTGACAACATTGTATCAAATAACCAGGTTACCAGGTTACTATCTGGGAGTGAAGAGATCAACACACATGAAATCAATGAAAGATAGTGAAGGAAACTTAGTTAAAACCGAATAGGAGTAACAGAGGAAAAATGGGCTGACCACTTTGTAAACCTCTTGAATCGACCAACACCACCACCACCACCTGCACTTCGTCCAGAAATACCACCAGGAGCCGAACTACAGAATTACCAGTGAACACAGGCTCTCCGACAAAAGCAGAAGTCCTGAGTGCCACAAAACTGCTGAAATTCGGGAAAGCGGCAGGACCAGATGGAATCACGCTAGAAGCACTGAGAACAGACGCAGAGACAACAGCGGCCAAATGATCCACAATGGAAGGTTTAGCTCAGTGACGCCTTTGAAGTGAAGACAGGAGTAAGACAAGGTTGCCTACCATCACGGATGATCGTCCTGATTGTGGTCGACTGGATCATGCAGCAAACTGTGAGGAGCGAGAAGATGGGCATACGCTGGTTGGACCGACGAAAAGACCCTAGAAGAAGATTTGGATTTCGCCGCCGCCGACGATTTATGTCTAATGTGTTGTCACACAAACTCGAAGATCTACAGGCAAAAACTAACAAGTTGACAGAAGAGGCAGGGCGGCGAGAATGGAACTTTAAGTGAATGTAGGGAAGACAGAGGTGATGAAGATACCCAACCAACAACAGCATCAACAACAAGCACCAATCACCATTAACGGGAGAAGCCTAAAGGAAGTAGCCTCCTTCACCTATCTAGGAAGCACTATTTCAACCACAGGTGGCGGCACAGATGACGATGTTAAAGCCAGAATCAGAAAAGCGAGATAGGCTTTCACTAATCTGAAATCAGTGTGGAGATCTACTGTACTCAGCATGTGGAACAAGATGCGGATTTTCAACATCAATGTCAAGTCAGTGCTGCTATATGGTTCAGAAACTTGGCGCATCACGAAAAGCGCTTCCAACAAACTACAGACATTCATCAACAGCTGCCTACGCTCGCTTTATACTGAAGATCAGATGGCCAGATCAATAGGAATAAGTAACAAGGAACTCACTCTGGGAACGAACCAACCAAGAACCTATCACGTAACAAATATGCAGAAGGTGGAGATGGATTGGGCATACACTGAGATGGCCGACTGGGGATATCACGCGTCAGACCCTCGAGTGGGATCCAAAGGGGAGACGACGAGCTGGGCGTCTGAGGGGGATATGGAGGAGATGGTGTGAGGGAGAAATGAAAGGTTTTTGGCAGATGTGGAGTCAATTTCAACAGACTGCAGAGAACGGAGTGAAATGGAGGCGTGCTACTGAAGTCCAATAGGAACCTAAGGAAAAAAAATTAATAATAGTCGAACCACAGTAAAATAATGAAACTCAATCTTAAACTTGTACGTATACCCGCAATCAAACGTTTTTAAGCTCTACCTTGCGGTAATAACGTTTCGGCTAGAAGTTCTGAGATAACTTTCAGGTCGCTTCATGTCAACATTCTGAGTTCAAAACGTTAACAAATATCAAAGACAGACTTAGTATATCTAAGGTCGAATTGAAATATGATTTCCGTACAATATTCAATAATTTTCTGAAGAAAACAACTGAAGTAGTTCATGACATTTTAGAGGATTTGTGTACTTTTGCCACTGATTCACCGCATGATTGAAATTATAGGTCAGTGGTGTAGATGCTAGGGCAAAATATAGGTTGACAGACCGATAGCTACCTTGAACTATGTAAATTTGGTGCGTTATTGTTGAACAACAACAGATTCTCACAGCTGTATACACGTGCAGAGCTGATACTTCTGTTATTTATTTTGCCATACACTAAAACGTCTTACTATGTTTACATAAGTTTGAGCAATTGAATATTCTCCTCTGAGTGGAAAATGAGCGTTTTACGTCAGCAAATCCGATGTTTGCTTTCGCGAAATTTCGATATCTTTCACGCTTTTACAAATCCTAGACACCTAAGTGCTAAACTAAACCAAAGCCCAACTGGTACAAGCCACAGAATGTAATATGATTTATTCTCTTAATACGATACAGCGGATTATTTACGTAATTAATAAATACTAGAAGTGTTTACGTAACTGTTACAACATTAAATTTCATTCGATACAAATAAGCATCATAGTAGCATCTGAGAGGAAGTAAAATTAACGACACATAGCATACTTAGCAACTGCAACAAACTTTATGCTACCATTTTAAAAAAGGGTATTTGCACTTTGCAACACAAAGATTTTCAAAATCGGTGCAATAAACAGTCATACAAGTACCGTATTTCCACCAGTGACACATGATTGAAGTTGACGAGTCAGACAGACAGAAAAAATCAGCGTTAAACCACGCACAGAAGTGTATTAGTTCAAGTTGCTACACTTCAAAGCGTGATGCAAAAAACAAATGGGTAGAAAAAGACTGATATCAAAGTATAGAAAGG